AATCCATATTATACAGGAGACAGTGTAACACAATTAATGCACACACATATAAATCTTGCTGTGCTATATTTGTAATATTATACACTATATTATACTTTACAGCTTTCAGTCCTAAGTCATCCTATTACATACAGACAATGGAATCTATTATACAGGAGACAGTGTAACACAATTAATGCACACACATATAAATCTTGCTGTGCTATATTTGTAATATTATACACTATATTATACTTTACAGCTTTCAGTCCTAAGTCATCCTATTACATACAGACAATGGAATCTATTATACAGGAGACAGTGTAACACAATTAATGCACACACATATAAATCTTGCTGTGCTATATTTGTAATATTATACACTATATTATACTTTACAGCTTTCAGTCCTAAGTCATCCTATTACATACAGACAATGGAATCTATTATACAGGAGACAGTGTAACACAATTAATGCACACACATATAAATCTTGCTGTGCTATATTTGTAATATTATACACTATATTATACTTTACAGCTTTCAGTCCTAAGTCATCCTATTACATACAGACAATGGAATCTATTATACAGGAGACAGTGTAACACAATTAATGCACACACATATAAACCTTGCTGTGCTATATTTGTAATATTATACACTATATTATACTTTACAGCTTTCAGTCCTAAGTTATCCCAAGGGTGGAGCTTACAGACGATGGAATCTATAATACAGGAGACAGTGTAACACAATTAATGCACACATATATAAACCTTGCTGTGCTATATTTGTAATATTATACACTATATTATACTTTACAGCTTTCAGTCCTAAGTTATCCCAAGGGTGGAGCTTACAGACGATGGAATCTATAATACAGGAGGCAGGGTCTATTTTAGATGAATCACTGAATGCAGTTATCAATGAGGAGATCATCATTGAAGAAACGGGTAAGAAATTACTGTCTATCAACATAAACAGAATAAATATCTATGCTACAGTAAGCGTAAACTAGATTTGAACGGATAATTTGCAAGTTCTTATTAATGTTCCAATAACCCCATCAACTTCTCCGAGATAGTTAAAGTTTTCGCAAATACGATTTGTATGGGTAACTTCCATAGGAAAGTCCTTACCAGTTTTCTCCTGATGATTGGAGCGGTCGCAACTGAGATACATATGACAAATTTACAACCTCTTTTGTATACCCAATGTTGCTACTTAACCATAAACAAATTAAATACTACGCTTGGAAATCCAAAATTAGTTGGCGCGAGGGATGAAAATTAGTTCACGTGATCACTATATTGCAATTTTCATAGTGAGTTTCTAGGGAGTTTGTTAACTCTCTGTAATACAGGGAATCATCTGAATTGAATGTAGTGGCATACATTTTGGAAAAATCATGACAAGCTTATATTTTCAATTATTATAACTACAGTGTATGTGTACAAATATAATCAGATATCAATGTTACAGACAACATGTGATTACTTGAGTATACTGAAAAATAAACCTCATAAATAAATAAATTAATTAATTAATTAATTAATTAATTAAATTGTATAGTAATAGAATCCTTTCTAATCATTTGATTTCACCCAACCCCCACCCCGGAAAAAACTATTAAATCTAATATTCAAGTCGTTTTCATGAATAACTTCAGTGTACTAAGATTTATTTTACTGGTGACTTTTCTGTAGTTGTTTTACCTGATGATGTTGCAAGTACAAAGCTATCATCAGAGGTTGGTACAGAGCCAGAACAGCTCCCACCAACTGAACACAAAACGTCGTCTTCTGTAGAACCAGATACACTTGGCAGTCAGCAACAGCCCCCCACTGAGACTACAGAGAATGGTACTGTATATAATTATCTATTATTTGTATCAGTATTATATTTATGTACGTACAATGTATATTATATACAGTTGAGTGTGTAGTATTTCTTCCCTGTAATATAAGTACTGTAAAATCTGTATTTGAAGCTGCGGCTACTATTCAAATATGCACAAATAGATATGTGCATTTGTTTCATGACACTTAACAATAGCTGAATGATGGCCATTTTAAGGCCGAAAATGCATCAAAATCACGTATTTTCACAATTCCGGAACCGGATCTCAGTCATGCATGGATAGATTTTGTTCAGATTTAGTACAATGTATTGTACATATGCAGGCGCATTTCGGTCATGATCTGCTTTGAATGTATATGTCACTCAAATATGAACGGAACGGGGACGTGTCATTGACAATGACTTGTTCATAAAGAATTTCACAATTATTATCTATTTCAGGACAAGAAACTATCATTCCCACTGATGAGAAGCGATATGAGAATGATGCTGTTGTGTTAGCGATACGTGACAGTACAATGCCTAAACTGCACGGCCGTGACTCTGAAGTGTTTATTAGAATGCTACAAGATCTGTTCCCCGATGTGGATGTGCCTTTAGATTTCGGTGGCAATGAAGCTGACAAGGCTCCCTCCAACTTAGGTCAGTATGTTTTTTAGTTTAAACCAGATGATATAATATATTAAGTAATAACCCCATTCACCTTTGCACATAGTTCTGTACATGTCATTCATACATCATTTTGACCAATGGCAGCAGCTCATCTTGACATACAGCAAGCTGTTGTTGCCAGCTGCAAGTCAATATAAAGTTAGAGAATGTACTTTCAATATTTAATATGTGCGTCTTTCATTAAATATTATATAGCAAGTCAAAACATTGTGCGGTAATTAATATAAAACAGAAAACTGCTTGAAGACCACTGCATGTTGTCAGATTAAAAACAGAAAATAAATTACCCATTTTGCTGTTTCCAAGGAATAATAAATTCCTGTTTAATAATATATACAAGTCCACAGTATTTTGAATCTGACCCAGGTACATAACATGTAGTTATGTGAGGCATCTTAGGACAATAGTAGTCTCTGTGAGTGTCTGGTCCCTAAAAACAGGTACCGGGGTAGTAATGAACAACTAACTTTTTTTCTTACTCCACAGGTGAAATTCAAATGAATACCCCAGTTGTAAATATGAGTTCTACCATGTGTACCCAAGCATTTACACCGAGCACAACACATGATAAGCAACCTTTAGAAGACATGAATGAAGCCATCGCTGTCTCTACTGCAGAGTTAGGATTAATGCCTGGTGCCGTGTTCCAGGCTAGAGTTGCACAGTTTGCACTCCTCACTAATACCCATCAATGTGTAAGTTATTTACTCCCCTTGTTGCTGTGTTATCACATTCAGGTGGAATTCAATCTGTTTGTGAGGATACTCTTATCATAATTGTGCAGCTACAATGACCCATTTACAGCAAGATTAAAGCGAGTGAAATTTCTGAGCTAAGTGTGCTTGTGCCTACCAAAGTGTAGGAGCTCAGATGTGTCTGTAAATTTAGAATTGGTGAAACAAGGCAGGGCAGATTAAGATGGGAATATGATAAACTTACACGAATAGGACATAGTCCTTATAATAGTCCTGCTGGCTGTGGTAAAGCAAATGCATCAATACATATTTCCCTATGTAAACCTGACTACCAATAATTGCTTTCTGTGCTGTCTGTTTATATAGGTTCTTGTAGTTGGTCCTGCTGGCTGTGGTAAAAGCGAATGCATTAATACATATGTTGGGGCTCAAAGAGAGATGGGTAAAACAGTCAATGTGCAAAGAGTTTTCACAAGAGCAGTGGAATCACAAGAATTACTCGGATATATCGACCCATCCACCAAGTGAGTTGAAATTTATAGAAATACTGTAAACCAATTAATTTTTGCTTCTAGAAATTTTTACGATTTTATGTATCTGTGAGGACAAAATTTTACATAAGTCGCGGACACTGCTCCAAAATTTTATGATTTTCACTGATTTTTGAAATCCATAAAAAATTCTCTCACCAAATTAAAGCAGTATTAACCACAGTAGTGGGAATGTGTATTGCTGCTAGACGTGCAACACAATTTTTTTTTACTGATATTTGTTTCTTGAAATATTTGTCATCTGCTGTCCTGGTTACAATATGTACTGTTTACTTTGCAGAGAATGGAGAGATGGCTTATTTCAGACATTGATTCGTAAACACTGTCTACATGCCAATACAGAGTTCCTGAACAGTAAACCGTTGGTTAAAGTGGTACATATGGATGGAGAGGTAAGCAACCAACCTGTGGTGTGTAGATCTTTCTCCTGAATGAGGTTGCTTCTTACATCACAGAAAGTCGTATTGTTGCAACACCATTGTTGATATACTATCAATGCGATGATCCCTAGAAATATTTGAGGCTACTTCATCCTTGGGCAAGTTGCTCCACACTGTAACTGTACTGAACTTATAGTTCATGACCAAAAATACCATTTGCCAATCAAAGGGAGATCATGTATTATGCATGAAATCTATGTAAAAATGAGACAAACTAAAGTCATAGCGTCTTTGTGGCGTCAAAACACATTGCTTTAGACTTTTGAAAATTTCTATGATTAATAATGTACTGCACACCTTTGGTGATGATCAACTTTGATAACATTTTTTTCCTCCACTGAGAGATTGGCATTTTGACATTGAGCTATAAAAAAAAAAAAATTAAGTTCAAAATCAAAGCATTCAATTTTTGCCGCAGTCATTCAGTCCATGCCTTTCACACAGTATGCAAGATGTAGCAGCGAACGGAAAATCACATATTTTCATCATATGTTGAAGATTTCAACATAATATAGGAAACAATTCAACTTTCTTGTAACTTTATTTCTCAGGTTGATGAACATCAGATGGAAGTTCTTGGATGTGTGTTTAATCGTAATAATAATGATGTCTTGGTGATGGGTAATAATGAACGAATCAGATTATCGGACTCTGTCAGAGTTCTATGGGAGGTTGGTACTTTTATCTCCATGGCGACAAGACCAGATTATATCCTATTCTCAGTACAAAACATTCTGTGTATCAGTAATCATAACTGATGTACTCTTACAGTTTGTGTAAAATGCTGTCAAAAATACTGTCAGTAAAATACGAAAAACTGGACACCATATACTTACGTGTATAGAACAACTCTATTAAAACATGACACCTCTGTAATAGATTTTCAAAGTCCCATTAATGTGTAGTTTAGATAAATATCACAGCACGTAAGGCTAACTTCTTGCCATACTTGGACAATTGCTTGTACATGTAATATGAAAAGTTAAAAAAACATTTGAAATTAATATTCTGAAGAAGAAATACTCACTCGGTTTATTTTTAGCGAATTTGATTCTGCAGGGAGATTCCTTGGTTTTAATGTCACTGTTTTGTGAAGAAATATCTTCCATAGATAAGTCTACTTCGCTTTAATTTAGTGTATTTAGCAATCAGTGAAATAAGTAAAAATAATAGCCTGCTAACCATGAACCTTTTCACCACCAGTTCCTTCTTTTTATCACAAATTCATAAAAGATTCCTGTTTATATTCTGCATTTTCCTTCAGAAGATTGGGGGGAAAAAATGTGTTGAGTAAAAACTGAAAATTGACTCAAATTCTGTCTGTTGGCTCCAAAATTAGGATTAATTTCTAGACATTATTGAAGAATTATAATAAAAAAGTGGAGAAAAATTAGGGCAAGGAAGTCTGGTAGTGAAAAGGTTAGGCCCTTTACAGTATAAAGTTACTTTTGATTTCTTCCTATAACTATATGAATTCTCCTATGATAGATGGAATCCTTGGCCAATGTCAGTCCAGCAGTCCTCTCCAAGGTGGGAATCTTATCCATGGATATGTCAGATGTAGGCTGGAGACTTATCGTTGCTAGATGGTTGGATTCCAGACCGGAACATGAGCAAGACGTACTCAAAGAGTTGATGGATGTATATGTGGAAGGTACCTTACTGTACTTGGGTGCTTGTACACAGCCGGCTATAATGGGAAGAACTGGTCAGCCAAGGATGAAACGCTACATCAATACCTCGGATATGAATATGGTGTCTACGCTGTGTACACTGATGGAGGTTGGCAAAAAGTTACTTTCTGGCTTCATAAAGATTACAAACTCAGTTCTGATGTTGATATTCACATTGACAAAACAAAATGAAAAACGCTTTATTTTAAAACCTGTACTTTTATTTTGGAGTATGACATATCACTCACCCTAGGGTAACATTCTCTAAGAAAAAGGCCTCACCTAAGGGGTTGCCCGCAGGACGATCACATACCCAAGGCCTGTTAGTTTCATTCTCTTTTTGTTTCTGGTGCACAAGGTTTGGAATAGTTTTCCTCTACACGCATTTACTGGACAAAAGAGGCAGATTACAGTTTGTTAACTTCCTAGAAATCTAGTGTAACAGGGCTCGGGTGCGTGATCACCCTGGGTGGGTCACCCTTTAGGCGAGGCCTTTTTCATAGAGAATGTTATTCAGGGTGTTCTCTCTGATCCCAGGTATATTCTCTAGTAGTTTCCGTTTGGGGCTGTAATCTGTAATTAAGCCTAACGAGTAATAAATGAATAATAAATAAATTTCAATGGATTTTCTGGTAGTTATGATTAGGCAAACAAACAGGTTTGTACAACCCTAATAACTAGTAACAGAATCTGAAATGAGCTTTTGCAAGTTTATTGATCAGATTCTGATTGACAAAGCAACACTGAAAATGTCACTAACACATTCCACTCTATGTCGCTTGATATTAGGCACTGATATCGCAGCAGAATGACTTGGATGACTTACAATACGAGAGATATTTCAATTTTGCCGCGATATGGGCATTTGGTGGCACACTGGAGGAACAATACAGATCTACATTTAGTCATTGGTGGAGAAATCAGTGGCAGACAAGAGTGGATTATCCTGAACAGGGAGAGGTAAGAATTTAGACACCAGAGCTTGTGTTATGTATGATCTTATCAGGGGAAGTTGTTTAGTATACATGTAATGCCTTGAAAAGCAATTCTGTCCACAAACTTGCCATCGCACAAACAACATTGTATCAGATTATATTATCAAATGTATTTTACTGAGTCTGGAAAATCACAAAATCTCTGGGATCTCCTAATAATCTAAAGTCACAGCAACTTTCATGAAATTTTGTCTTCTCAAACCACATCACATTGTCATAAATTGTGATAATTCTTATCAGCAAAAATGACAGTGCACTGTATTTACATAGTACTATGGTTGTATGCCATTCAATTTAATTTCCATTTTTCAATATGGTCTATGATTTAATCAAAGTTGCTAAAAGTGTACATATTGTGATCCGGCATATATCATTTCAAATTACTATTAACTTATTTCACATTGGTTGCCCAGCCAGGCTCACAAAAATAGTTTTTAGCCCTAGAAACAACCATGTAGTCAGTTTGTAGTACATTTCTCAGGACTTGGACTTGACAGAGGCTTCAAAAGTCAAGATGCCAAACAAGTTTGCCTTGGTGTCCTTTGCAATTATCATTTCTATACTTTAAGGAAATTGTATTAAATTTGCCCTTCAAACCTTTTGTTCTTTCTGCTCAGAAAATCATGCCCTAAATTATGCATTTGATATTCTGTGCTCTATAGTTTCATATACCATATTTGCTTTATCACTAGTGTTTTTAGCTCCGCTGTCGACTTTGTCGAGCGAAGCTTATCACATGAGTGATTGTCCGTCGTCGTCGTCCGTCGTCCGTGTCAATGTTTTACTTTTTCAACTTCTTCTTGAAAACTACAAGCCTGAATGCTTTGATACTTGGTGTATATGTACCTTGGGTAGACCTCTCTTAGGTTTGTTCATTTCATGTTGATATCTTCAATTCTCTAATTTTGGTGAATATTTTTGTCATTTTTGGTAAAAAGTGATATTTTCGACTTCTTGTTAAAAACCGCAAGTGCAAATGCTTTGATATTACATATATAGGTACTACATGTGGACCTCTCTCAGATTTGTTCATTTTGTAATGATATCTTTAATTCTCTAATTTTGGTGAATATTTTTGTCATTTTGGGTCAAAAGTGATATTTTCGACTTCTTGTTAAAAACCGCAAGTGCAAATGCTTGGATATTACATATATAGGTACTACATGTGGACCTCTCTCAGATTTGTTCATTTCGTGATGATATCTTCAATTCTCTAATTTTGGTGAATATTTTTGTAATTTTTGGTAAAAAGTGATATTTTCGACTTCTTGTTAAAAA